CTACAAGATAAACTAAAACTAAACCTGAAGAATAATCGAAATAACATACATACATCTTAATAATGTACATATTAAGGGACAGGACAAAGTGAGCTAATTTATGTCGAGGTTAGTAGGCATTTTCGAGTTAAAAATATTATATTGATACTGTTATACTTTTCATTTCGTTTGAAAAGGCGGGTGGTAAGGATTCATAAATTAGCCTCATCGGATATCGAATGAGGGTTGCCTTTGACTTTTGTCTGTCGAATTATGCAAAAATACCTATGTTTACCATCCTGCAAGCCCGATGACTCCGTGCTGAGCTTTCGTCCGTCATGCGACGGACATAGTCAGAGCCAGAAACTATTATTCACGAACAATCACCGAAAAATAATAAACCAAGAAAGGTGGCCGCATGAGATCCCATTCATTTCTTATATCTCATTTTGTTATCTTAATGAGGTATTCCATGATTTGGTCGGCTGCTTTATGCTGACACATCATATGATGTAGTGTTCCGTCAGGTAAGGAAGGGACTCAATAATAAAATTACTAATTTAGGAACTAGAATTTGCTCTTTAAGTAATAGTAGGAAATCATATGCAGGAGAAGAGAAAATAAGGAGGGGTTGCAATCAGCCAGCCAAATCATGGAATGCCTCATTATGATCGTAATGTGAAGCATAAGAATTAAGTAAGAGCTTAGGCAAGCACATTTATTGGTTCAGTGTTTCTCTGTGATGTTTGTCAATACTGGTTTCTTGCTCTGACGAGGTCCCTGATGACAACGAAAGTTCAGCACGGAATTGTCGGGATCTTTTTTGCACAATTCAACAGTCAAAAGTAAAGGGCAACTTAACTTCTACGTCCAATAAAGCAAATATACGAATCCCTTCCAACCAACTTCTGAAACAAAATGCAAGGTATACCAGTATCAATCCACGAAGGGAGTCTGCGAAACCCAGCTTATCATAATATCTTTAAATGTAGATACGAAGAGAAACTTGGTTACGATTAATCTCCTGGGATAACATTGTTAGGGGGACCTTCATTTCGAATGAAAGTACATGAAGAAGAGATTCGTTT